CAGCTCCAAGCACTGCCAGGAAAAATTATCCAGCTAGAGAGCTTGAACTGGACTCCGCAGTAGAAACCCAGTGCATAAAGGAGGACAGCGGGTTCCCAACACAGCCCATGGCTGCACAAGCACTAACTGGCTATTAGCTAAGTATTTTACAGGCTACCTATTTTTTTGGCAGGAATTGATCCCTGGAATAAACTGGAAAGGGATCAATGAACTTTCATGTGACTGGTGCTACATAAGGTCTGGGCCCAGAGGCGTCAGCCTTCAAGCCTAGCAGTTCGGTGTGATCAGACTGTCTTCTCACAGTGCAAGTCTCACAGGATTACTCACAATCTTCTGATCAGCTATGGAAGGAAATGAGCACTTTCCTACACAATGTAGGACAGTGCTTAAGAAGACACCGAAGCCCTAGGCAAGCTGGACAATTTGAAGATGTTTGTGGAACAGATTTGAAGATGCATTGTTGTCAATATATGCAATTGTTTTGAAGGGAAAGATCTTCTTAATGTTTCTTTCACACCCAAGATGTATCCTAGGTTTTCAGCCTTCAGCTAGCTGCACATTATTCCAGTACTGCTTCAAGCCTTGGAGAAAGCTTGTACTTTCTTGTTTCCTTTGACTGATGTCTGTACTCCCCATGTGTACTCCAACCCAATGGTTGTTCATCCAACAGCCCTGTTAACTACCTAGTAGCCCTGTTAACTGGTCTTAGAGAAATCTCTTTGCCATTTTGTGCCAGCAGTAGTATACTGAAGTTTTAAGGCATGAAAATAAGGTGCATTCCAAATGAAGCTGGTGTAAATACTTTAGTTAGACATCCTGGGATTTTCTCAGGATTATTTCCTAGTTCTTTAGAAAAAGCCTGCAAAATCTCTAAATGAGAGTCTGCCTGCTATGCACGTCATGCAGAAGACAAACACATCTAGTGCACGTTTGGTCCTATCGCTACCCACGCACCAAACCACTTTCTCAGTTAGTCATCTTTCAACATTTCTTCTTAGCACTCACGAAACTCACTTCTGTTGTGTGTCTTACATAACATATTTCAACACGGAGAGTTGTGCCACAAACGCAGTGGACACGTGATTCTCCAGTCAGCCTCTGATAGTCATCTTACACATCAGCACGGCTTCCTGGGTGCGTGTTTGTAACTTCCACACAGACATACGTCCCTTACAGCAACCCAGTACTCTTACATGCCTCTCACTGATTTCAGCTTCTTCCTGCAGACTGGCTGGGTCATTCTCATCACGTGCCTCCCTCTACAGCTCTGCCAGTCACATAAGCACAACACTCACCAAACACATCTGTCCCTGACCTGCACACAAAACCAGATGTATGCATCTCATACATCCGTGCACCTATCATCACTGACTATATGCATTTACCTGTGCCTCCCACTTGCTCCCCCCTTGCACTTAACTCCCAAACTGCTCTCATGCTGCTATGCATGCATGCACGGCCCCTTGCACACTTTGACACCCTCCCTTAAACTAAGAGGCAGATAACTACAAATGGCTTAAGCTGTCATAAACTTTTTCCCATTCCTCATCACTCTTACCTCCCCTTGCTGTTTTCTTCCTCCCAGGCCCCACATCAGGTCTGCAATCCTTACCTGTACTTCCCTCATTTACTTCGAGCATGCTGTGTGCACAAATCTCTCTTATCAGACACAACTTTTCACTCCTTTCACCTTCCCTTCCACAGCCCTTACAACCAGGCACAAACTGGCAGGTACTTTCCTCACTTACACACCATCGTACATCAACCTACGCTAAGCTTCTCAACCTCTCGTAACAGGAACAGTCATTCCCATTCACTTCCATTTCGTGCCCTGCAGCTCCTAACTCCACTTGCCTCCCCACACACTTCACACTTTACTTTTGACCTTAGTACAGCCATGTGGCTTATACAGCCCTCCAGGTAGTTATCCCTCCCATTCTTTCTCCTCCCACCCCTTTATATCTTTAGTCATTTCTCCACTAGCACATTTAGTCCATTCCCTCTTGCTTCTTCACTTAGCCAGTACCTACCACAGAGATTTAAGCACATTTGTTATGTCTCTCTTAACAGAAAATCACTTTTTATTTATTTGAGTATGTGTTCTCCTCCTCCCCCACTCCCCCATTATTCCTTTCTTTCCGGTATTTTCCTCAACTGCTGACCCTGTAACATATTGCCTATTCTTCCCCTACGTTACCCCAACTGCCCAGTAAGGAGGCATCCTCTGTTTCTGCTGGCCAAGCCACTCCTGCACCTTTGCACTACTTTCTCTGTTTGCCTGCAAAGCGATACAAAACCAAATTTCCTCCCACGCTGTGCTCTTACACCTTTTGCCCAGGCACCTTTACAGAAAGCCCAGCTCTTCATTTCATCCTCATGCCTCCTACATTCCTCATTTTTACCCATTCTCATGCTTCTCAAGACCTGCTACATCTTTATATTCCTGTCACAGTTCATCCTGCCCCCATGATTTCCATTATCTTGCATTTCCTCATAGCACCTTCACATGGCTTTTTCCCCAGTTCTGTCTCTCCCTTGCAACCAGGCAGCACATGTCTATAGCACTACTCCAGCAGGCTTCCAGCCTCCTCTGAAATTTCTCTAAGCAACTACCCCCTCACATACCTTTATGGGTCCCTATACCCTTTTCCCATCACCACACCCTGCCTCCATCCAGCTCATTTTTTCCTCCGCATTCCTCTCCTCGGCATGTGTTTCCATCACCACGCAAGCCTTCCCTTTCATACTCTGACACCTTCCTCTCAAATACATCCTCGTATCTATTTCTTGACAGAATCAAAGGTGCCTCCTTTAGACGCCCCCCACAAGCATCATGTAGCTGATTATTTTCCATACCTTTCTCCAAATAGACAATAGTTCACATTTTTCTTCCTCCTCCAAACATCCTTTGTGCCCTGTGTTTTCACCTTTCTCCCCCCGCTCCCATTCCATACCCTTACCTTCCCCTTGCAGACCCTATCATCCTTGTATGTCCCTTTCATATCCTCACCCAGCCTCCAGTCTGCACCTTTTCCCTCTCAACCCTCTCAAGTGTTACTTCCCCTTCTGAGCTCCTAAACTTTTTTCCACCCACAAAGATCTTCTTTTTCCAGTTGACGTGCAGCAGTTCCCCTTTTAAGCTGACCACCTTTGCATCGCTCACCTGCCCTTATTACCCCAATACACAACACTTAATACATAGCAGTTTATTTTTGGTATTATTTTCACTTTCCCTCCAAACTCCTTATATCTATCTTTCTATGTAGCATTTACTTCTTCTTTCCCTGGAAAAAAAAAATCCTAAACCTATATGTATTGCATACCTCAACATATAGCACCCTTCTACACAAAGCATTCCTCTCCTGGCTCTGCTAGTACATCCTCTTCTCCCCATATTTTGGGTCCACCACCTGCAATCATGTCTAGTTTTCCTCCCCCCGCCATGCTCACGCACAGAGCTCCTGGTTCCGACTTGTGTATCTAAAACCAGTCTTTTTACTACAAGCAGCTGGAACCATGCTGTACTCTCTTCTATTCTCTACTGCTTTTGTCTGCCTTGCCACAAAGTGAGTTTTTCTTTTTTTTATTATTAGGTTTTCCTTTTTCTTACATCTTACTTATAAGTGTTTCTTGCACCATTCCTCCACTTACAGGCTTGCACAGATCAGGTATTTCTGTGCCTGAGAATGTCTTTCCTATTTGTCTGGGTATTTTCCTGAAGGCACAATGTAAAGGCAAACTTTACATACCATTCGCACTCCTCATGCAACAAATCACATGAGCCTAAGAGCAAAGAGTGCTTTCTGAAAGGTTGTAGCTCATAACAATTGACTGGACCATATAGCACACATCCCTGTCTATTTAAAAAAAAGGGGGGGGGGAGGGGGGAAGCAACCCCCCTCACACACACTCTCATCTCTAAATAACTGGTTTTGCAATATGGGAACCAGAGACTGTGTGCATAGCAGCCTTATTCAATCCAAAATATCCATCTCTCCAAATACTGCATATTTATAGTTCAAGAGATAGGACCAACACAGAGCTTTCCCGTTTATTTTAATGAAGGATTAAGAACTGATCAGAAAACTATCTAAACCATTCAAGGACTTTTTCCCCTCTTGGCTAATAGCAGTTTGGTGTCTCCATAAGGACTCGCCAGTAACTGACGCTTTAAGCTGCATTTCAGCTGTTTAGATGAGAAACAGCTTTCTATTTTGCTCTCTGTATGTGCGTCTGTGTTGATTAGTTGTGTGCTGCATTCCTAGAAGGCACTTACCAAATGCTGGAAATTGCAGCGTAAGAATAGTTTTCCTGCCATTCTAGCACAAAGTGAGTGTATCTTTTTCACCTAGACACAGATGTGCAGGGAATCCTTTGATCTCCAGTTCCTCCCAGAGAATTTAGTGTTTGGGTTTGAGGAGAATGGGGATTGATTCAAAGGTCTTGAATAGGGTTTCCAGTGTCTGGCACACAAAAAAAAGAAAGCTCCAGTGAAGTAAGTTACCTGAGACAGGCGAGATCTAGAAATTGGGAATTTTGACTTTACTTGTCATGGGCTCTAACTTTCCCTGAGGGCAAGCATGCTACGTATGCTGAGGCTGGTTCTTGCAATCCACGCTCAAGATTTGCAACCTCTTTTGTTATATCTGAAGTTGCTGGTTTCCCTCTTAAAATAAAACCAAGGCTCTCCTTTACTTTTGCCTCTTAAGTCAGATTCCTTTAGCACCTCATATTTCTCCTCTGCTGTTTTCTTGCCAGGGACCTGAACAACAGCGTGGAGAGCAGGAGGAGAGAGGAACCTCAGGACTAAAGCAAGCTATAGGGCAAGTAGGGATGGGGGAAGGAGGAGGCACAATGGGAAAGGCAACAACATTTGGGACAGATCTACTGCTTACAAGACACCCCCCTCCTCCCCATTATACTTCTTTAAAGGACCCCTCTCCCCCCCTCCCCTCCCCGCCCTCTTAGGACCCTATTAGAAAACGTCAAATTTCCCTTACCGTGGTAGGAGTAACCATGGCATCCGTGTGAATGTTTCCAGAAAAGTCGACATGAAGAGAAAGGTGGATGTAAATATGTTCATTCAAAGTCCCAAAGTTGGTCTGCTTGGGTTGTGCAGAGTTGCTCTATGGGAGAGGAGCCTTAAACTCTGAGTCCCGTGAACATAATCTGCTCGATTATAACAAACCAGCTCAGCCAGATGGCTCTGTGCTCTGCAGATTAACCCCTTTATTGCCATGC